TCAGCAAATGTGGAAAGAAAAACTAAGAAATAGCAAATGTACATATACCCATTCTCTCTTCAAACAACAATAAATACTCGAAGAATATCTAATACCTGTTACAATGAAAAGGTATATTTAAAAAGTCTAACAATATCTGTACATCTTGTAACCTTAATGTTGTAGAAAAAGAGTATCATTTTATGCTTATGTGTAGACTATATCGTCAATTAAGAAACAAGTGTATTCCAAAGAAGTTTATAACTTACCCAAATATTAATTTGTTTTACATTCTCATGTCAACCTCAGATATTACTTTATTACAAAATATCGCATTGTACATACATCATGCATTATTAGTTAGAAGAAACACCCATACGTTGTAAATACGTTGAACTATGGCCTTTCAGTTTGCAATGAATAAATCAATTTTTAGTCCACCAGAGATTTTGCCGACGACATGGATAATGATTTTGCCAATGACCACTTTGGCAAAACATTTGTCAGAACGTTTCTCACAAATGGCAATTTTCAAACACTCTTTTACTTAATACTTAACCTTTGTGTCCCTGGTTGAAGTGTTCTCATGTTGACAGCTTACTCAAATTATTGAAAAAACAGTAAACGTTACTAACTGACTACTACTTAATCAGTTACAGTTACAGATACACTATCACTGGGCCCGTCTCATTCATATAGATGTCGTGGTATGCCTGTTCGGATTCCTGGCCCGTCTCTGGTGCATCCATCTCTCCAGGTTGTGGCCCCTGTCGAAATTCCAGCTCTCTCTCCTGTGGACGTTCTCTGAAGAAACAAGAAAAACTTCTTGACCATTTTGAGTGTTTTTCTTGTCGACATTCTACAAGCATTCACCTCAGATGTAACTACATTTGTATAAACTTTACAACCTGAAAGTACGAAAAGAAGTTGTGTGGTTGTGTTACAACTATAATGTTTTACTGAAATTGATAGGGTGCAAGGTATTACAGGAAACAAAAAGGATCTGGGATTCGAACCAACTCATCCAGCATCATGACGCAATTGTAATATTTAAGCTATCTGCAAGTTGATAGTTTTTCCATCATTTGATATTAGATATAATTATCTGCAAACAATCAAATTATATTATTCAAAGAAAAGGTGTTTCTTTAAACTTGCATGCTACTTTTGAACAGTATTTCAGTTATATCATGGAGTGTACATAAACATTGAACGTACAAAAACAACTTGAAATAAAAAACTCTCAAGAGCACAGATATTATGCTGAAAATCTTTAGCTTAAAATACAATAGCTCTAATACAAGAAAAGGATAACGTCATGAATATATACGGTAGATGAATCAGTAGGAAGCTGTAACGTCATGAATATAATCACTAGCTGTATCATCAGTAAGCTATAACATCATGACTATAAACAATAGCTGTATCACCAGAAAACTATAGCGTCATGGATATATATAGTAGATGAATCAGTAGGAAGCTGAAACGTCATGAATATAATCACTAGCTGTATCATCAGTAAGCTATAACACCACGACTATAAACCATAACTGTATCACCAGGAAACGATAGCCTCATGGATATATGCTGTAGCTGTATCAACAGTAAACTATAGCCTCATGGATATATGCTGTAGCTGTATCAACAGTAAACTATAGCCTCATGGATATATGCTGTAGCTGTATCAACAGTAAACTATAGCCTCATGGATATATGCTGTAGCTGTATCAACAGTAAACTATAGCCTCATGGATATATGCTGTAGCTGTATCAACAGTAAAGTATAATGTCGTGAATATATAACAGAGCTATATCAGCATGAAGCTGCAACACCATGACTATATATAGTAGCTTTATCACCAGAAACATATTACTTCATGAACATAAACAGTAGCTATAACATAAGGAAAGTATATCAGCATGATGCTATAATGTCATGAATATAAATGGTAGATATATAACCAGGAAGATATATCGTCATGCATATATACAGTGGCTATATCACCAGGCAGCTATAACGTCATAAATATTTACAGTATCTGTATCACCAGGAAGCTATAACGTTATGTTGGTGATATCAAATAAAGCTATGAACGGACTCAGCTGTCAGCCTTTATTAAGTCTGCTGCATAGACAACACTGGTTATTATTGACGTTTTATAATGAAATATACTTTCTACATGTGTCTGTTTGAGAGAGGATACTGAAAAGGTTGCCAACCTTCAATATCACTCTTATATATGATCGCATATCACACTACCGATATCACGTGTTAGACCCCCCTTACCTTATCATCGCCACACGCTTGCGGCAACAGATCCTCACTGACAGCATGCTCCCAACCAACAAAACCAGTGACGCTGTCGAAAGGATGGCTATTTGTATAACACTGGTGTCCTCTGTCAAATATAAGAAAATAGGTGACGGGAAAGTATTAGCTAACACAATAACATGAGAGATATTGGCCACTCGCGTGTACAAAGCAGTGGAGTGTAATATTTACCTTGGTTGCAATATTCCAGTCTACGGCATTCCGCAATGGAACAGTTGAACGTGCAGGTAGAATCACACGTTTGTCCAGTCAGGTGGCAGCCTATGGTGCAGGTGCCAGACGTCTGATCACAGACACCATCAAGACATACTCCACACGTGTGCTGGCAGAGTCCACCATAGAAGCCACGTGCACACCCGTGGATACAATCCCCACTAGCTCTGTGGCAGTGACGAAAACCAGCATTTAGTGACTGTAGAGGCTTGCTAGTAGAAATGTTGGGGTCTGGTCCACACTTTTCACTGCATTTCTCCTCGCAGAAAGTGCCATAAAACCCAGGAAGACAGCCCTCTGCGCATCCATGTTCACACGATCCTAGGCAGTGATCACGGGAATAAGCACAGTTTGGACCGAAATATCCTGGGTAGCACTCCTTGCACAATCCTGTCATCCTGTTGCAGGACTTACATCTACTTGAACAAGATTTACAGCCAGTACCGTAGTAGGAGTCAACACATCCAGACACACAGGAGAAGCCCAGCTGACAATATCCTCCATCACAACCACCTGGACATGGTGCACAGCTAACTCCTGGACTGACACAGCATATGCTGCACCCAGGACCTTGATATCCAGGGACACACCCCTTTGTGCAAGCACCAATGCCAGAGCTTGACAACTGACATGAGTGATTTCTGCAGTTCCTGCTGCATTCTGAACTGCAGATCTGATCAAAATACCCAGGGTCACAGTCTGTAAGGCAATGTCCTGTACTTCTGTCGCATTCTGAACAGTGCTGGTTGTACTTACACTTGTCCCCTGAAATGGAAAGGACTACAACATATGATAATTGATACTATGGCTTCAGTACCCTGTAATAAGAGCATATGTCACATTAACAGCACACAGTAACTTCTATGTCATGAAGGCTGCACTATGTCGTCAGCAGACCACATTTAAGAATATGCAAGCAGTGACCTTGTTACGCTTTATTTTAAGACAAATTCTGTACATGATCCACTGACTGAGATGTACCATTAGCAAATCAGTTTATGGGGCAACTTACCTTTCGAATAAATTATCAGATATGTCATACATATGAACTTCAACAGTGTCATGATGTGTTCTGAAAGCTCAACACAACATGAATACATACAGTTGTGTGTTACTGTAAGCTGTGCCACACTGTCCAGTGTAAAGCTGGGTTTGTGTTTGTGAAGTTGGTTTGACCTTATTAGCCGCCTTTGACTCACTCTCTTTTAAAAAGTTTAAGGCAATTGTTTTCTTTTTCCTCGTGAGCCGGAAAAAATGAATTGTGCAGGGTTATGATAACCACAACCACGTGATATGTTTCCTTTATGAGTAAACATATTTTGCTCCACACATTATGATGATTTTATATCTATTTCAAAATTAACCTGCACACTGTAAGGAAAACGTATCGTCTTTGAAAATAGTAGTGAAGATTTGCACAATCCCTCTAAAAAGAACAAAATGAACAACAACGATAATGGATAACATTGCTCATATTGGTGAACGTCCAGGAAAGGCATCACTTTGTGTATCAATACATGAGATAGGCGAAACGCTCTACAATGTGAAAACCTCAACAAAGAAATCTAATTTAATACATCTTCTGTAGGAATCATGTATTCCATTGTTTTTTTCAAAGTAGAGAATACGTCTGCTTGATATGTATTTTCATCACAAGCCCAGTAGCATTGATCAGTTATGCCGAATCAACTGCAAAAGAAATGTATGGGCTGAAACATTTAACCCACCCCCTCTCAAACCCACCCCACGCGTGGTGCATATTTCTTTTGTTATGAGCTCTTTACACAACGGCTATTGTGGCACAGGATTTCCTGTCTGGTCAAGTCATAGTGTGTGAGTGGTGGGTGCAGAACATGCTTATCCCTTTCGCAAACACCTGGTTTGGACCTCCTTTTTTCTGCTATTGTTCCTTTTCCATCCAGTGCCATTGACATTTTATATTAGATTATGGGGTTAGCAGAACTGTAAACATTTGATGAAAGGAAAATGAGCGTGCTGCATGAACGCCGCGTCTGGATGACGTCATGCTAAAAATAGTTCGCCAGCGGTAGGAGAGAACGATGGTGTATGACTAGGCATGGTGCAATAACGGGAAACCCCATACTATAAATAGTTCACCGACGACAATTGAAATGTGACATTGCCAGTAACTAATGGCTGTATAACAAGGGAGGGGCCATTCTGTACTATTAGATTGTTTAAAGAGTACTTTGTAAATGAAACCTATTAACATTGAGTGATCGGTTAGTCCCGAGGCTGTCCTCATTGGACATTTTGGTATCCCCTGGGTCTGCATACACAGTGAAATGAGGTCGGAGACCTCGTTGCATATCCGCTGATAGCAAACCGGGTGGGTAAACAAACCCATCTGAGTGGTGCCTATGTACTATTTTTTTTCTTATCGTTTCTATGTTAATCACGCCTTCTGAAAGTTGGAAAGAATATGTGTCCAGTATTAAGTTTAATCCTAAACATTCAGGGTTGATTTTGGTATCTTGAAAATGTATGTTGAGGTTTCAAATATGTATAACAAAAGTCATTCCTTCTGTTTCAGGTGTTGGTTCAACGATGCTGGGACTCGACCAACGTCTGCTGCCATTCTGTGAGTAACTTGTGTAAAATAATAACAGGAAGTAAACACGAATGATACCAATTAAACTACACACGCTATTGATGGACAAACTGAATAAGGATTGATCTAAAATCAGACACTTAAGGAACTTTTATGATAAGAAGAGTAAATTTTCGTCAGTGGATTGGAAAAAAAACGTAGTTTGCAAATTTAGATGTTAAAGCCAGAAGCTTTAGTGATAAAACAGTAAGCGATTCACAAAACAATGGATTATCCAGATGTTGATATTCATAACGATGATATGCTAGGATTACCATTTGATGCTCTATTTCAGTCGTGGTTGTCCAGGGCTACACAGTATGTAAGTGGGGCTTACATGGCGAGCACTGCAACCTAACATGCCCCCAGAACTGTGCCCTTCTTCCTCCACTTGATGTTCCCTACTGTGACACTGACACGGGGAAGTGTTCTGAGGGATGCCAGCGTGGTTGGCATGGTGATCTGTGTAATCAAGACTGCAACCGGAACTGTATACAACAGACATGCAACCATCAAACTGGGCACTGTACACTTGGCTGCAGTGGAACTAACACAGGCTTTTTTTGTCATGATACTGGAGGTAAGATTATTTAAAAGATTTCGCTGATGTGGCACAGTTTATCATTAGACAATTCAGCTTTCCGTATTTATCCTGAAATGAATGGGAGCTTAAAATCTCATCAATGCTCTGAGGTCTACATTTCCAGAATAATAAGAATTTAGCTTTAAGTTAATGAAATTGTACATACAAATTAAATTAACTCTTTTTGTTTTAACTGTGATGTAGATAATCAGAACACTAAGGGTGATTTGTAAATAGGAATTGTGACCGGAAACTAAATACCAGTACATTTTAATTTCAACATTGTAACTATAGTGTCATGTCATCTAACCTTGCTAATAATATCCAACAAAACTCCAAATAATCACTGATATAGTTTAAAATGTGAAAAAATAAAATAGTAAATTTCAGATTGCCTGTCCTTTCATTTTTCAAAAATTGTCCTGAACCTAACTGTATCTGTGGTTACCAAATTTTGTAAGAAAAGCCACATGGATCAAGGAGTGAAGCTTTTTCCATAAGTTTGTCACGTGGGATAGTGGTGTACAAAGTAGAAAAAAATCACAGAATGAAACTTTTCTGAGATTACAAAGTCAAGCAAACCCTTAGAATTTTGAGAATCAAATTGGTATTAATTCCACTTGTCTCAAATTCTTTCTGTTAATATGAAGAAAGCCCTTCCTTGATTGTATTAAGGATTATGGTCTTTGAGACAGGAATCAGTGGTACACTTGTTAGACCCAACAATACATTTCTCTCTTTGAATAGAATTTATGGAGCTTTAAAATCCAGTACAAGAGAGGAATGAACATGACTTCAGGTTTTAAAGTCAAGTCAAAAGTTGACAGTACTGATTTATGGTTTGGGCAGATGCCTTCCTCGGTTAACATACTGGCCTTATATGTAGCATTATTTGATATGCCATTTACACCAAGTTCTTTGATCAAACAATAAATGTAGTGATGTTTACATATAACAGTTATGTTATTTGAGGCCTTGTCAGTGGGGACAACTACCAACTTTTCATGTAGGACAGCCAGACTTTGGAGCTGACTGGGACAGAGTGGGTTTATTCCGGTTCCGTTTCCTCTTTTTAAGTTGATGTATTCTACCAATGGCAACATCACGCACTGACTTAACCCACTCTTAAGGACATTCACCAGTTTCCTCTTCTTGTTTGGCCCATTTTTGGCATATTCTTTGACAGCATCCATAATGATTTTGAAGTTGTGATCCCAAATGGAAGGACGTTGCCCATGGAATCTTGGTCCATACTTGAATAACTGAAGAAGGTTGTTATCGTCAACAACAGAGAAGTCACATGTGATCATATGGCCTGCACAGTATGATGAGTCTTGGCAGCCACAAGTAGTGGCATTTACATCATGAACAGCTAAGTCCACGTTCTGCTACATATTCCTTTAATTGCTTGCTTGTTTGTTGTTTGTTGTCAGCAGTATTCCAGCTATATGACGGCGGCCTGTACATAATCGAGACAGGACCAGACAATCCAGTGATTGAAATCATGACCATTAATCCACGCCATTGGGACACGATGACATGCATCAACCAAGTCAGCGAGCCTGACCACCCGATCCTGTTAGTCGCCTCTTACGACAAGCATAGGCGTCTCTTACGACAAGCATAGTCGCCTGTTATGGCAAGCATTGGTTGCTAAATACCTTTTCTTCCACGGATCTTCGCAGGCCTTTTCCTATAATTAAACAACCTGGATAAAATTGTTTTCATACAGGAAAATGAAACTGTTGAGTTGTTTCTGAAATTTGAAATATTGTAGGACATTCTGGGAAACTGTTTTTTGTCTTACTTTAATATAAACCATTAATCATGATGCATGAAAAAACGCATTACAAATTGTTACATTTGCTCTTGAAAATCTGAATGTTTCATCATTGGACAGTTTTTTACACCAACAGAAGTCATACTCACCTGACTTGCTGTTATCAAAACGTGAACTTTAATCTGCTTAATATTCCACAATTTCTTTTTGGATCACGTGAAGGATAAATCATTGATACTTGTATTGCTATGGCTCAATTAAGTTTGACAAATGAGTTTGTGAAAAGATCCACTAAAATGTCAAAACCATCCATTATATTAACTGTCAACTCTTTTGTTGCCACACATGGTCCACATCTTAAACGAACCATTTACGGTGGTGTAGTCACAATTTGCCATTGCCAAAGGCTCGAGAGAAAATGACTTTAATAAAAAAAGAATGGTATAAATGTTGTTTCAGCTGAAGGGATACAGCTCTTACCTCATTTAAAATAATGTTATGTATTCTGTTGAGAGTTATGAACTGATGAGCGCAAAAGTAGACTGCCCCCTCCAACTTTCTCTTTCATAATCGCAGCTCTTTGTCAAATACCACATAATAAAGAAGTATGCCATGGTGGCCAATTCTCTGTCAAATATATCATGTGATGACTAAACTCGGAACTTAAAACAAACACTAAACTCTCTAGATATACACACAGTTGGATGTAATCTAAAGAAGAAACACACATGGAAAAGATCATAATCAAAGTGCAAGGGTCAAGTTAACAACAAAGTGGAACATATTTGTTTAGTTCCACTGCTAACTCAACATATACCAAATAAATGTTACATTGTGAAATAAATGTCTAAAAAATTGTTTCCAAAATGTTTGCCGTGACGATCTGTAATCTCAACTAATAATTTAGCAACATCTATATAACTTCTCTTTTCGCCTATTTAGACATGTTTCAAGCGTCAAAGAAAACTTTCAACATCTGCTCACGTGCACTGGCATCAATTGTATGCCATCAACTTAATTTAATTTGTAAGGAAGAACGATTCAACGACTGTGTAGTGTCATCAATAATGTTTATTGTGTCCTTCTCTTTTAACAGTGAAATTACACACCATTGTATAAGGATATAGTAATTAGGGGTTTTATTCATATTGACATGAACAATTCCTCACATTAATGGTTTGCTCACAGCTATTATTATAATAAAGTGCGAAAAAGAAGTTACTTAATCCTGTATCTGATACTTTGATTGTCCAGAGTGTGGTCGTGGCTGGTATGGTGATCTGTGTCAACACCCCTGCAGCATCAACTGTCTGGAGGAAAGATGCAACCACACAACTGGAGCATGTAAACTTGGCTGCAGTGGGACTTACACAGGGGAGTTTTGCAACACCACAAAAGGTACGAAGATACATCTGCTTAACATGCAATACAACTTGTCTCATATGTTGGGACCATGTTGGGATAAAAGCAATACCACTAAAGGGAGGTAACTCCGAATAACTAGCTGTCAGTGTCACCAGCAAAGGGCGTAATTGTACGAGCGCCTCGATCAATTTACTGTCACTTACAATTATTAGAAACATAGTTACACAATATACTGCCATATGACATTAGATCCTAAAATATGATGGATCTTTGGGCATAAACAGTATTAATTATTATGCACGTGGTCAAGACACAGGTGATGAGATATTAAATCCGTACACTGGCGTGTCTGGGGGGTTGACATCGTTTTATCCCCTTTGATTGGACATCTGTGACCTCGGTCACACCTGAACTGTTGGGTTTCCTTTATACACAATTTTCTTTTGTATGGTCAAGTTGAAACGTCTTTCATATGGTAACGAATATGCTGGACAAACCCAACATCTCCCTTAGCCCAACCCAATTATCATTTATATATGAGTGGGAATCAAATGGTGGCACCCAAAATTTGCGTTAAGGAATGTGTCAAAATTAATGGACGAGTTCTCTCTATTGTTCAGCCATTTGGGACCATCAGTGCCTGCCATATCAAAACTGAATGGTGAAAAGAGGCATGTAGGGTGGTATGGACTTACTTTGGTCCCCGAGACATGAGGAATATAGGGTCGTCGACTCCTGTTTCTGTTTTGAACAAGTGTGAATCACAGAATGATTTTTTTATGTTATACCAGGTGACAATGTGTATCAGTATGATTGTCTAAACATTGATAATTTCAAAATCCTCACACCTGGAGAAAAACTCAATGTGACATAAATATTTTAAAGAAATTGGAGAGTTCGAGAATTTGAGAGTTCTGAACAGTAACGAAAACGATATTTTCTTCATTGACGTGTTGATAATAAATATAATACTACGCTCGTTTTCGCAATAGTGAAATGTTATCTATTTATTAGCTGTTTGTATGAGCACTTGTATGTAAACACTTCTTTGACTCCACTAGTTGTGAACAACAAGGAAGATGCAAACAGCCTGGATGCCGTACTGGAACTTCTCTCACTGAATGTAGCAGTCGCAGCCACAGTCGCTGGTGCAGTCACACTCACAGTGACATTCACAGTCATTGTGTTCTTAAGGTATTGTAGTTGCATTCAGTTTTGTGTTTAACTGTGAATTTATGTTTGTATTTCCTTATATATTCATATATTCATACTAACGTACATGTAGATTATCATGACAATGTTCAATGTTATTATTCGGTAAATAAATACTGTAATTAAATCAAAGTTTGAAGTACTATAACTATGGACCTGTATAGTTTCTTGTTATCTCAGAAAGACATTCCAAATCGTTACTCACTTCTCACTGTTACCACCACATGCCTTGATGAGAGCCCTATGACTTGGCTGGCCACGCGTCCAGATATGAAACCATTAGGACCTGTTTGGGATATTCTTAGACGTTAGCTGCTGGCGATGGATCCACTAATGCAGAGTTCGACCAAGCCGAAACTACGGTGATATGCTACCTCTACTCGTTCCTGCTCTGGTGCTTCAGAAATGCTCTCTTCCAAGTACCATGAAACTTCGCACACAAATCTCCCAACCGCACTTGGCAACAAAAGTTGATAAAACATGGAGAAATATGTTTCCCAATACGCACACATGTCATACACGAACCACTGTGTTAGGGCCACAACAGTCATTCTTCTTTCACGTGAATGCCGTGAAATTATGAAACTAAAATAAACAATCCCTCGTGTAAAAAATGTCGACTCAGCTAAAACAACAATAGAACTAGCAGGTTTATTCCCTGTAAACCGACAGGCTAACCATCAACCTAGATTGCCGCTGTCCACTCTCTTTCAATTTGTTAATAACACGAGACAGTCAACAGCTGCTCCGCCAACCGTTAGTGACGAGTAAATGCGACGTGGGTTAAGTTCAGTAACGTTGGGGATCGGGATGAAGAGGTATTCATCACAAATTTATAACACTGTTACAAAAACGCTTCGTTCCAAATTAAAAATATTAGATATCGAATCTACATTAAGACCTCAGATTTCAACACACAATAACACTCCTGAATAATACATTAATTCTTGCAGAATTAGGAACATTAGCGTGGCGCATTATATGGGGGAGCCCAAGGTTAATCTTGCCCACAACACGTGCATCAAGCTTACCCATGTTACAGGATATTCGCGTTAATGATCACAGTCTCTGAACTATGTCTTCATTACATCGATGCCCATGATATCAATCACTGGATTGTTGGTCCACACTCGAATATTTACAGACCGCCGTCATACAGCTGGAATATTGCTGAGTGTGGTGTTAAACAACAAATAAACAAAAAAAAAACCATACTTCCGATCCGATTAAACATCACGGCAATCATGCTAGCATTCAAAAAGCCATTACTACCCATTATGTGGCTGTCTGTTTCAAAATGTATTTCTATTTTGCACACATGTTGTTAGATGCGGGGCGTAATATACATTTCTGTTGTACTATGTGTTGCCTTGTTATGAATTTTAACCTTGATTCTGCAAGCATTACACATTTCTCAACCCCCACCGCACAAATTAGTGAGAAAACAGAAAATTCGGAACTGAAAAATGTGTCGCACAGAGCCATGTTTAATAATTAGCAGTTTTGCTGTGACAGAGTCTGATTTGTCTGATTTGTTGTCCCCGTGAAGTGGCATGATGTTAAATATTTGTCAGTTTATTAAAACATAAACGCAACAGATGTCGTTTGCTTTCAGAAACTGAAACATCACTTTTCACAATATTGTGTAAATGTAATGACAAAACCCTTGTCATATCAAAAATCCAAGAGTCAATAGTACGATTACTCTCCTGAGCATGTGTCTGTCAAATAGGGATGAGGAGTTCGCAAAATATACGCTATACCCCACACAATAAACATGGAAGGTTAATTTCCATGCTCAAAACTAACTTTTGTCTTCTGCTGACAAAGCGGATCACTTCTAATGGGGTTAGATGTTTGATTGTGTCCCCAGCCTTGTGCTCACGTGACAACGCCATTTAACAGACCTTTGTCTGGAACAACCATGTCATATAAATCGGCATATACCAATGGTATGTTCAAATTACAATGACCAATTTAATAAGTACTTGTGTTATTTTTGTTGTAGATGGCGGACAAGAAAGAACAGGTAACACAACATTCTATATCCTTAATTCCATTACGGAGATTGGTGTAACCATAGACTAATTGTATGGACCTTCGGCCTGTATAAAAGCAGTTTACCAGGAGGGAGAGACACAATGAGGCCCATTTTTGAATTTTTTCATATTTAATTTTCAAATTTGTGATGCAAAAATGTGTCAAAAGTCCGATGTGACCATTACTTTATGATCTTCTGTCTGTGGAAATAATGTTATGCCAAGTGACCTGCAATTTATTATTAATTGGGCGTCTGGGATTCGCATGTTCGAAACAAAATAAATCCGTAAAAGGTTGAGAAGAGTCAGGAATTTCAATGAACGATAATATCATTATTGTAAAATCTAATGACTAATTTCTCTATTTGCGCTTTTTCAGGAAATGTTTGCTATTGTTTTCAAGTTAACCCCGTTAACTGGTCCGATAATATGAAATGGTTGACCCGAAGATGAAACTGGTAAAAAACACTAGTATATTGTCATATCTTCTATTTGCAGAAGGAAGCGACAGATGAACAGGTAAATACAAGAATAAATTAATTTGTCATCTGCATCTGTTGTCCGATATTATTACTTGCCCGTGAAGGGATCACCCGTTTAATAAACATATAGCTTTATTACACATTGTGTAATACCAAAACGCGTGCTTATGTACTCTCGGAACACGTTTCACGAACAAATATTGAAAGCTCTCAACATCTCTTGGCTTATTCAACGACATTACGTGTGGAGTTGATAGATCACTGAGAGGAGCTTATGCACACTCGATGACCCCAGCAACCTTGTTGCTAGGCTGACGTCACATGGCATTGTTTCGCCGATGGATCTTGCATCAAAATTCCACAAATTACGTCATCGGGTATTGTGACGTTATTGAAAACTTTGAGGTGCAAGGCCCGTTCCACAAGGCGATCGTATTGTAGCGCAACGACAGTCGTTGGTCTAAGTTAAATTATGTGAGATGCGAAAGTCTTAGCCCTACGATAATTTTGTGAATTCTAAAGGGAGACCCGTTGCATGGTATGAAATTCATACGTTTCAACTTTTGACGTGTTTGAAGTATTATTCTGTTAAACTCAATTTGACTATGTCGTGGATCATGTAGGTGTCAGCCTATTCATACTCAACAGTATAATTAAAAAAACGTTATAAATTGCAAACGTAATAAATAAAATACTAAACTCGCTCCCGTGTAAAACCAATTTTATGAAACTCGTGAATAGTTGTGGTTTTACACGGGAGCTCGTTTAGTATTCAAATATATGAAATGGTTGACCCCGAAGATGAACAAGACTAATATTATGAAATCCGTTGTAAAAAGCGCACTTTTTTGCAATTAACATTGAATGGCATTCATTAATATGTCCCTTCTTCTTTGTTTCAGTTCCCAAGTTCCGAGTAAGTAACATATTTCCACTCTTTAAAAAATACAAAACAAAAAACAAAACAAAACAGAACCCCTTGTATGATTACGACTACAAAGAAATAACAATGTTTACAACTGAATTATTAGAGATTCCTGATATTGCAAGCACGACATGTGATGGATCCCTGAATGATAAGAGTTAATAATCAGCATTCAGCTCCTCTGCACGGAACTCACAAAAGAAGGCAAGATCATAACTCATCCAAAGTTAAACTAGCATGGTCATTTTTAAGAATACGACACAAGAACGACGAACAAGGAAATATCCACGTTTGGAAAGTTACTGTGTGGGACATTATGTCTTAATAATTTCATATCTACTATACTATCTTGAAGATGTGTAATACTTTAATGTGTGCGCTATGGCTTATATTCCAAAAGTCCACTACTTTCTAAATGCAATTAACGTGTTCTTCAGAAACGAGATGCCTTTGTCCCCTTAACAATTTGATCATATAAGAATGCCAGAGTCAAACATAATTCAACTTTACAGCATCCTGTTAATAATTGACTTTTTGGCCAGGCAGTGGATGATACCATACGCAACACCCCACAGCTGCAAACCATGAATATAGTTTAGGATGCCAGACAAATCTTCATGATGTGTCTGCGTTCAAAGGACCAACGACTTCAGTTAAACCAGATTTCATGTAACAGCATGCAGCTAAATAAATTATTTGAGCTTAAGCGAAATGCTAAAAGGTGTTCAACTATTTGACACAACTAATGGTAACTCCCCTCCCATCTCTCGAATACCATTTATTTTTCTTGTTGGCTCATCACTGAATTCGCCTAAAAAGGACAATGTAATCATAGACGAACACCTCTGAAAGACGTTTCGAGTTCATAAAAGGGTGAGATTTAAAGTAACATTACTAAAAAAATATCGAATAAATATTAGGAAATATTTACATACACCATTAATAATTATACCATTAAAGGTGAATCTGCACACCAAGCATATTATTGTTGCATACCGCATGCCACACTGCTGAGTCAAGAATACCCTCAAAATTTGATTTATATCTGATGTGGTTCTGTGCTTCGGTTGTTTTGTTGTGGAACCTCTGCCGCTAGGTATGTGTGGGCAGTAACGTCAAGGTGAAAGCGATTAAAGCAGATACGTTCAAGTTTGAATGACTTTACTTCCGGTCCTAGAAAGAACTCTTTTTCTGCATTAAGCCAGAATATCTCATAATTCTAGCTCGGGTTGAAGTGAAGTGTTTGCTACTGCTGGTTTGATATGCTACACGGGAATACACGATAGACTACATGTGCGCATTGAGATGATACATTAAAAGTGGAGGAGATTCTTACTGGTCGATTTTGCTTTGTGTTAATTAAATGCCTATCAAAGAAGTTGTGTTTACTATAACTAGTCTATATCTAAATATTTATATGTACCAAAAATAATAGAGCTGATCCAAAAGGGGATGACACATAATAATTATGTTCTAAGGACTCTTTTGAATTTTGAAGAATAAATATGTTTCACCAAAGTGAGAGCTGCCTTGAAGTGGTGAAGTGTTCAACATAACCATACAGGGGAGGCTTGAGTGAGGACACAAAATAGTATATGAAGCTGTATTGAAGAACCCCGAAGCAATAGATTAATAAATTATTTCACTATCATTTACAAATAATGATAAAACAGGTCAACACAGATCATTTCCTTTTTTTCTGGAGATATCACTGCTAAAACCTGAGTCATTGTTAGATTCCGACTACACCATGAGCATGTGTTTATGGATCACTGTCAAATAGTGATGATACCAGGTGCTCGTGACAAGGTGAGCATGCCCTGCCCCACTGGTGGCACCCCGTCAGAAACACACGCAAAGGCACTGAAAAAAATACGGGGTGGTCTCTGTGGACGTTAAATTGTCTTGCAACATCACGTTGACTCGATGCTGCTTCAAGCATACCAATGGCTCGCAGACGCTCATTTTCGGACAGGCGTGGCATTTCGTAATGTTGAATAATTGCGTAATTGTGTTGTTTTTCTGAGTGGTTGTTGTCAGCACGATGCTAAACAATGCATATGGAATCCCGTTAACGCACATATTTTTATATCCATCCTTGGGTAGTGAAATGAATGGGGCTTGCATAAAAGTCAACTTTTGCCTGGAATGCATGCTTTTCTATAGGAGTTGCGTTTTTGTGACTTGATTCCATACATGTACTGCAGTATTGAAAAACAAACTTAACTTGTTTGAAAAATACACTAAAATATTGGTGTCACAGGAACTTTTGTTGGCTGTTTATTTTAACTTAAAGTTCTCTAGTTGAGCTTCCGCATTATTTATATCTGATGTGCTTCTGTTCACAGGTTCAACTGACATAGAAGTTTCGCGGCCAGGTATGTGCGAGCTTGTACGTATTGACAGTAAATGCGTTTTTTGAAAATAAGGTTGCTACAACTATAAACTGCTACAACTGCATGCTGGTGTCACAAGAACTTATGTTGTTAAATATAGAATGACGTGCCAATTACAAGAAGAAGGAAACGTCATGGGGCAGTATCTCTCATTTGTATGTAGAATATCTTTCCCATATATTAGTGTTGTGCATGTACTGAAAAAACATATGAAATAAAAACACTACTTAACTATCCCTTTTTCTTTATCAGCAGATTCGGAGGAAATGTTGATGAAGGCATGCTAGAATCACAGGAAGAATACTGGGAGACATATTGACATGGAGATGAAGGCTGTGATGTTGTTAATGTTAATGGCGTTTTGATATTTAACCTGCTACAATATGTTTTATATTTCATGACGTATGCCCTTTATTTACCTTTTGTGTGATACTACTATTAACAGACATTATTGAAGGCAAAAGGTAAAAGTACCGTAAGAATTCCCCCCCCCCCCCCCCCCCCCCCCCAACTGTATATATAATATTGTTATGCTCAAATATGTTTCATGAATTGTTTCTAAATAAAATATGCCCAAATATCTTTTACAACTTGTTTTTAAACAAAACTTTGCATCAATGACTAAATTGTAAATATATTAACTTGGTCTCATCACTATATGGCTGCGATAACGCGGATGCGACGTTATATTTTAACTCACTCACCCATAAGCTTATAAACTCTAAATACACCCCCCAACCAGCACATACACGCCTAAAATATAACCACACATAAAACATATATGAATTACAAACAGTAATTAAAAACAATATAAAAAACAGCCTCAGCCACAGGTCCAGATAACATCAGCTACATCATCTCAAATCATATTCCCATCAAAATCAAAAACATAGTATCACAACTATTCAACCAAATCTGGACAGGAACCAAACCCAATTCATAGAAATCAGCTATGGTGGCACCAATGGTCAAACCAGGAAAAACGCCAATGAGGCTGGTTCTTATCGCCCTGTCTCCTTAACGTCCCATATTTGTAAAGTCAAGGAAGCAATCCTAAACATCTTGTTCAAATTTGAAATGACCAATCATCAATTTGTCAACCCGCTTCACTTGAAATCGCCAAACTTTAGACCACATTTAACATTTTGAACAAGATAACTAGCACAATCACGAAAACAATACACTTTGGCGATATTTATCGATTTCAGTAAAGCCTTTCATGTGTTTTTGTTTTCTTTGCACAATGGCCTAATACAAAAGTTAAAAAACAAAGACATAAAATTTAGAATTCTAAATTTCCTTCAACAGTTTTTAACAGAAACATTACAGTTAAATCAAACAATGACACATATCCTTCTAAAACTGAAAGCCCACATTTATTCCTTTTCTAGAAGGAAAACAATAGATGAAAAAGTACACACCCAAACTTCACATAAGTAATGAAGAAATCACCTTTCAAAAAGAAGCTAAAGTCGTAGAAGTCACATGTTATCAATATTTAAACCAAATCTAACCAAAACAGAAAACAAATTCACCCAAGCACACCCAACAAAATAGACCCAATCTCTCTCTCTCTCTCTCTCTCTCTCTCTCTCTCTCTCTCTCTCTCTCTCTCTCTCTCTCTCTCTCTCTCTCTCTCTCACACACACACACACACGCACGCATACATTAAAGTGAAATTAAAATTCACTCTCTTTTCAAATCTCATAGCTCCCGATATGAAATACCATCTTAACTGATATACTTTACCCAGGTACAGGTATTTCTAATGTTATATATTTATAATTATTTACTATTTAATTTATTTATAGAAACTTAACCCCAATTTATTTGGAGTTCCAGGAAATCATCATTGCAACATGATATTTGATAAGATATCATATGTAAATATGCTTAACAAATTTTGGGCTATGCCTAAGATAACTGTTGAAATAACGCCTCAGGGTGTTTCAATACAAAGGTCAAGTCTACCATGCAGCAAGAATGGTCACTCTATGTCACAGTTTTATCTGTTAGGCAAATTAGTCCCTTAAGCAAATTCACCATGTGAGCATTGTTAAATACAGGAACAACACATGGACAGAAAGTATATGCCTCCTTGACGTTGACCATAAATATCAAACAATGTAGATGCAGGTGACCAGCCAGGGCAAAATGTGCTACCTCATCAAACGTTTGGGTAATATTGTAGTAGGGCAGACCTGTCCAAAGTAACTCTGCTCCTGTAATAAACTTTGGAGCTCACAAGCTGCTCTACGTCATCTGTGTCTACAGTGTTCTTACTTCTACTTCAAGGTATACCCTTTTCATGTGTTGTCACCTGAAGAACATTTGAATCTCTATGTTATTTTATGTTCAATGTGTGTAGTCATGCATTTGATACATTTGATACTTGGATTTCCTTGTTCAATGTCAGCAATATTATTTTAGTCTAATTAATAACCAGAGAGTATTTGTATATTCTTATAAAAAGACTTGCATAAAGTCAGGGAAGCCCAGTATTCAGCTGCAGTGATGTCTCATTCCCGACGTTTGCAATTCTTGCACTTCGTTTATATATATTTTTGTATATAATCTATAAAGCCATGTTGATAACAATAAATATATGCAGTAATGTGTATGGTATATGGTATGTGTTAGACACATAAGATTATAATATCATGAATACATGAATTCCAACAACAACGCCAGAGATAATCTGTCTTTGTATTCATGATACCAAAGAGAATCATAGTCTGTTACAAATATTGTTATTAATTGTGTTACACTTTTTTAGTTTTATAAATAAACACAGCCCAATAGTTATATGACAGTTGCTGTACAATAACATGTCATCAATTTCCCAAAAAATGTAAACTTTTAGATTGTGGTAGTAATAGTTATTTATAGTTGTTCTTAAGTCATTATAAACTTAGCATACACATATTGTATCTTACTGTCTGGACAAGACAATAAAAATACTGTTGCCATACCATGGTGTTCTACACTTTCGTGTCTGTATTTTGGTATTGATCTAGCTGTAAACCAATGACAAGCAATGTATCCTCTTTAGTAAGTCCTTTTATATGTTTGTCATGAAATTTCTTACTTAACTTGAATTGACCAGAACTATGATGTCGAAACAAGGATTGCAAAACATCGCTGTGAGCAAACTGTGCATTTGAGTCTCTAAACAAGTTGAAGTCATATTGCTTGACATTAAGGGCAAATTCATCAAATTCATCATGCTTGTCTAACTGCTTGGTAAGTTGTTGCCGTGGCAGTGTTAAACTGATTTATTCAGGAGACACGCGACATTATACACAGCAATGTTATGGGATCATGTCCCCGAGGAAGCAACTGGCAACGCATGCGCATTGCTACATTGGCATCCGGGTATCTTTAGGGTTGAGGCTCGTAACGGTTACATGAAATAGCTGTTGCTAAAGTTGCTATTATTTTAACTTTATTTTCATACTCTGCTAGTACACAGGCTTTGCTACGTGCAAGTTATCCTGTTTCCCAATTGTGACCGGCCACGGGCACAGCTGACACTCAGCTCAAGTACAAACTATTGCTGGAGAAAAGTGTCAACGCATATGTTGAGGGAGAATTAGCTCTTGTCGAACATCAAGAACAACATCGACATCACTGGACAGAACGTTTAATGCACAACATATGGAAACAAAACCCATATACACAATGAGCGGAATACCAGCTCTTACAACACAAAAAAACAGATGAGCGGTATTTTCCAGCTCAGACATACATGAGGTGAGCAGAGCTCCAGCTGAACCTCATGGCATTTCCAACGAGCGGCGATCCTGATCTAGGTCGTCCCTACACCAAGCTGACTTACAGTTTAAATGTAACTTATACGGACAGACGAAGAAAAAAATAAGTTGCCCTTGACATGTGACTTTTTGATGATTACTGAAACAGCCAATAATAGATTAAGGCTATGAATGTCACAATATAAATAACAGTAATAAATCAGTGACAAAGTAGCACAGGTCGTCCAGGAAGGCAAACAATGCAATAAAAGTGGGATTACCGATTGGGAATAGCATCTCTAAAGGGGAAGTGTACACGCAAAAATCGCTTTCTTTCTTTTTCTAAACAAAACGCAATTTTAGAATTAGTTAGTATCTGTGTTTGAAAACATACACTCATTTTTTTCACAGTGAAAGTAGGAAGCTCACAATAGTGTGAAAATGATATGCCGTTATGAGGCCTTCGTTTTTCGAGCTAAACAGGCCTGAGTTACCCCCCTTAGATTATGACGTTATTGGTGCCAATTCAACCGGGTCCCTGTCTATTCTGAACGCAAAAGATATCAAGTACCAGTTTTCGGTAAAACAACATGGCCTACGACACACTCCGGCGCAGTGGTGACTCAGCATAACACTATGCTTGCTGGCATCTGAGACGCTAGAATCACACACCTGTACCTACACCACGTGAAGCGGCTCTAACAAAGCATGATGACGTCATAATGTTTATCAATTGGCACCAATGACGTCATATTGCAAGGGGCATAAGCCATGGTGTTTTTGTTATGGAAATAGAACACTTGGTAAATGTGAAAAATATAAATCGTGTTAATGCAAAACATATGTTAATTAATTGTGATATTTCTATATTTTTGTCTATGACACTTCTAGGTGAACACTTTTATTGTGGAAAAAGTACAAGAAAATTAGGTTCATTTCCGTGTGAACTTGCCCTTTAAGAAATTGCAGTTATGTGATTCCAGACATAAACGTGACACGGCTACAGGGAAACCGTTCTTTGTGACGATCATGCAACCTTCTTACACCATGCTACTGTCACAGCTGACTATCTGCTTGCTTGTTGACTCTATGTAATCCAAACAGGGTAATTTACAACGCTATGTTGAAACTATAGTACTGTTTTTCCAATACATGTGACAATATTACTGTCTTTGACATTCACAACAATAATGCAACGATCAACACAAGAAGAAAGAGAAAGAGTTGTTAGTCTGCTGCAGATGAGGGCGACGCATCCAGACATGGGGTTCAGTGGACATGGCTGGTAGATAAATTCCTATTTCTTCTCTGAAGCAGATTCCTGACACGGATGTCTTCACAAGCAGCTGGACTCGTATATCCCGTCGTAAAACGGGTGTCAAAGAGAAAACGACAATATCATATTGCAGCATCAGGGACTGAAATGTACAAAGACAAAAGACCAATTACAGAACAGTCACTCTCAACCTTTCAGAGGTGATGGCTGAGTTCGTGTCCACCATCGAATAGCAGAAAGATCGCTGAAAGTTGCCTCCAGGACACCAAACAATATTGTGGAAGCAGCGTCTTTGTTTGCGGTTGAATCTGCCGTGAAATGAATACAAATCTGGTTCAATGCCAGTGCAAAGCTATTGTTGGTACTCATTAATATCTTCTTATGCCATCCTTGAATTGTCTCATATCCTCATTTTATTTGTTGTCCTTTAGAGTAGGTAGTTGTATTGAGTGGAA